ACAAAATGAAGATAGATTCTTAATATTGCTGGCAGTGTGTGAGAGACATCACTTATTGGCTCTTACCAAAGCCAAGGACAGTTTTCCAGAAAAATAAAAAATTCATTGATGATAAAATGTGAATTTTTAACTTTGCTAAGATCTGGCTTGCAAAAGGACATTAAAATTGTTTTATTTTCTGATTCATTGGGCTCTACATAAGTAGATTTTCTGTATGTCAATATTGATAATCAAGAGTGTCAAATGTTGAAAATTTTTATCATCTAAAATTATCAAGAGTACAAGAACACAAATACATCATGTAGTTTGTCTTCTCTATCCAGAAGATTGAACGATTATATAATACTTTATATAAACTGGATTTCTAAAAATTAGCTGTTGATTTTACAGATGTCTAATTTTCTAATTTTTAAAATCTCTAGTTGTTTTTAGATATTCTGTCTTTGCATATTTTTGCTTGTCTTAAAATTAAACGTACACATATATAGTATTTAAGCAAGGTAGCAATGCAAGTTTTGCACACGGATTCTATAGCACATCTCCATTTTCATAAATCCTTTAAGATTGGTTTCAGGTTAATAGTTGTGCAGGTATTCTGCAGTTTGCCTTCTAAAACCACTCAGAGCAAATTTTGCATCACCACTGCTTGAAATTGATTGTTTCGTCACTCCCCAGCATATGGTATGCACATGTGGAGAGAGGATTGAATCATTAGCAACAAGTGGAAGAAATTGTTGTATTTGGCAACCGGCTGCATGTGATCTCTTAAAAACAAAAAAGTCAGCCAAACTATCAGCAACAGTTTCATTGCATGGTAGGTCCACTCACCTCCCATTCTTTTGTCACGTGGGACGGCCAATGGAGGGACATTAAAAACCTGCCCTCTTTCCTTGCCATGTTTACATCTTAAGTTTTTTTTCTAAAAATGAACAGAGTTCTTATAGAGGGGGTGAGCTCAGAACAACCCAAAAGCAGTGGGGAAACAGAGCAGGGATGGGCTTCAAAAATTTTAGCAAGGGGTTCTCTGCCTGGTTGCTGGGTGGGCATGGCCTTGGTGGGCGTGGCCTAGTCGTCCTCCTGCACCACAGCAGGGGGGGCATTTTTGCTCTCCCCAGGCTCCGGAGGCTTTACTCGAGCCTCTAGGAGGGTGAAAACGGCCTCCCCAGGCTCCGGAGGCCCTCTGGGGTCTGGAAACGGGGCTGTTTCTGGCCTTCCCGAACTTCCGGTAGGCCTGTTTTTCACCTTCCCCGAGCCTCCGTGCGTGCCCTACACTTACCTGCATCCAAAATGGGCCACGTGGGGACTCCTGGGAGGGGAGGGGAGGATGGGGCCAGCCAGGAGTGGGATTTGGGGGTTCTCCGAACTGCACAGAATCTTAGCTAGAGGTTCTCCCGAACCCCTGCGAACCCCCAGTAGCCCACCCCTGAAACAGCAGCAATCTTACATGGGGTCTTCACTGTAAAAGGGAAGATAAAACATCAAAAGATAAAGAACCAGGAGCTCCCACAAATAAGGGAACTGTCTGCAGACTACCGGGGGTGGGGGGGAGCAGATTTAGCAATCCATGTTTGTTTCCTTAGAAATTGCAGCTGAGACAATTATCTTCTCAGGAACCTCTTCCAAAGTTGCTGTGTAGTAAGATGGCAGCTAATAAATTTTACAAATAAATAAATAAATCATGCAAACATCTGAAGTCCACCAGAAGGACTATGATATCTAGCGACATGCAGTAACAGCCTTCATCACACTAACTTTGGATGGGAAAAGGTGTTACAGATCACGAGTTTGCAGCATATATTTTTCAAGTAATCTGCAGGTAGTCCTTGATTTATGATCACAATTGAGCCCAACATTTCTGTTGCTAAACAAGACATATGTTAAGCGAATTTTGCCCCATTGTATGACCTTTTTTGCCACAATTGTTAAGTGAATCACTGCAGTTAAGTTAGCAACACAGTTCTTGAGTGAACCTGCCGGTATTCACTTACCTTCGCTACCGGTTCACAAATGTTTTTTAATTTTATGGAGGTTTGTATTTTAACTTTTCTTAACTAAAATAAAAATGGAACAGAAGAAGGAGAAGGAGAAGGAGAAGGAGAAGGAGAAGAAGAAGGAGAAGAAGAAGAAGAAGATGATACTGATCTGGAATCTTGCAGTGGGGTACGGGAGAAGTCAGGGATGGAGACTAGAGGAGATGCTCTTCCTGCCCTCGGATACCCTTTACAAATGGTGGGCCAGAGGGATGGGATGTCTATAGGAGTTGGGGAACATGGAGGAAGAAGTAGCAGGACTATTGAGGAAGAGGGAGAAAGCATCAGGAGGAAGTTCAGAGCACCTGCCCCTTAACTGCGCCAGGGAGAATGACTTGAATGGAGAGGGCTGTTTTCGTGGAAAAGTTCTGATGATGTTATCTTGCTTTCTAAGCTTTCCAACAACCCAAGGGGTTCTTGTGCTTGAGCTGGCCAGCCTGGTCAGGTTTCCGAGTGAGCATTTCTCCTCCCTCACTGGCCCGTACTTGGGCACAACATGCCTGACCGGACACATTGTCAAACCTTCCTTCTCCCTCTGAAGAGGGAGAATTGCCCCATGGCGAGAGCCGTGTTGCTCCTCGACTTGCTTCTGTGCCTCTTGGGTCCTGACCGGACGAAAATGGTGAGACGTGGAGGAACATCCAACTAGCTCAGCCTCCCCTTTCCAAGACCAACCTTCCAAAGAGCATTGGTCAGTCTTTCCCCCCACCATGAACCCCCTTTGGAGAGGGGATTGCAGCGTTTACAGACTCTTGTGCAAATGGTTCCCTGTCAAACCTGGGATTTGGGGAAGTCCTTGGTACCTGGCAGGTGGCACAGGAAGGTCTTCCACCTGATGCCCACTAAGCAGGACCATGGACACCTTGGAGATGTTCTGGGAGGAGAGGGCAACCAAGAAAGAACTCAGACTCCGGACAAGAGAGTTGGGGAGCCATGATTTTCTCCTCTCCCACCTCCCACCTCTTGGAAGTCAAGGGGCCACACTTGCCTGAAAAGCTTTCTTAATGCCACAACTGAGACCAGATCCCCCTGCAGGGAAAAAAAGAGGGTGGAAGGAGAGGCCAGGAGTAGGAGAGACCCCAAGGAGTATCCATCTGCCAGCAGGCCAGGCCAGAAAGGGAGTGTGCACCAGCTGGTGGCTTTACAAGCAGGCACACAACAATCTCCTTCCCTCAGCAATTGGCCAGTCACAATGGCCACTTGTTGAACCTTCACAAGTACATGAGTGTCTCAGGATTAGCATGGCTGGGCAGCTCGGTGGCCCGTTCTTGTTGGCCTGTGGCTTCTGCCTTTCATGTGAGAAGATGTCTGTTCATGAATAATGCAAAACTACTATCACATGTGGCACAAAAAAACACAGAGAAGGGCCAGGAAGGCCTGATTGCTTCACTCCTGGGCATCCCAAGCCAGCACGACATGGTTCCTCCTGCCCACTGTTGAATGGCTCTGGATCCTGTCCGCTGAGAGGAGAACGTCCCTGCTTTTGACTGGCCTGGGGCCCTGGGTTCAAAAGTGGTGAAGAGCTGGAGGGTATACAAGAGCGGAGGGGCTTCTGTGTCACCTGGAGGTCCTGGTGGTGGTGTAAGAAGCATTGCTCTTCAGAGATGCAAAGTAATGGCATTCCTTCCCTTTGCCCTTCCCTCTCCTCTCTCTCCCTCCCCTTCCTAGCCTCTTCCTCTCCCCCATTCCTCTCTCCCTCCTTCTCATTCTCTTTGCACTCCCCTCCTTGTCCCTTTCCCCCCTCCCCTCTCCAGCCCACTCCACCTTCCCAGCTCCCCCTCCCTTTCTGCCACCCCCACCCCCACCCCCTCCCCTTTCCGCTTCCCCTTTCCTTCCCCTCCCCATTCTTCTTCTGCTTCCCCTTCCCTTATCCCCCCTTTCCTGTTCTTCCCTCTTCCTTCCCTGTCTCATTCACTTGCTCCTTTCCTCCCCCTCTTCCCTCTCCATCTTTTCCCTCTCCCCCACTTCTCTCCCTATTCTCTTCCCCTCCCTTTCTCTCCCTCTTCACTCTGAACCCCTCCCCATGGTCTCTCCCCTTCTTTATCCCCCTCCCTTTCCTTCTCTGGAGCTCCCTCACCTCATATCCTCCTTCCTATATCCCCTCCCCCACCCTCACTCCCCCCCTTCATCCCTGTTTTCCTCCCCCTCCATTTTCTTCACTCTCGCCTTTCCTCTCCCTCCCTCCATATTCCCTTCCCATTCTTCCTGTCCCTCTCCCCCAATCTCCCTTGCCATATCTTCTGGCCTTTTCTTTCTCCTATCCCTCTTCTCCTCTCTCCCTTTCTCCCTCCTTTTTCCTACCCCTCTCTCACTTGCTCCCCCTGCCCCCCCCTTCGTTTTTTTTCTCCCTTTCCCTTCCCTTCTTCTCCCTGACCCTCTCGTGGGCTATCTCCCCCTCCCTATCCACCTACACCCAGAGATGGGTTTCAGCAGATTCTGACCAATTCTGGAGAACCGGTAGCGGAAATTTTGAGTAGTTCGGAGAACCGGTAGCAAAAATTCTGACTGGCCGTGCCCCCATCTATTCTCTGCCTCCCAAGTCCCAGCTGATCGGGAGGAAATGGGGATTTTGCAGTAACCTTCCCCTGTATTGGGGAGGGAATGGAGATTTTACAGTATTCTTCCCCTGCCACGCCCACCAAGCCATGCCACGCCCACCAAGCCATGCCACGCCCACCAAGCCACACCCACAGAACCGATAGTAAAAAATTTGAAACCCACCACTGCCTCTTCCTCTCTTTCTCTTTATTCTCCCCCTGCCCATCCCTCCTTTGCTTTTCCTCCTCCTCCTCCCCTTTCCATCCCTCCCTTTCTTTCTGCTTTTCTTTTCCTTCCCCTTCTCCCTTCCCCTTCCCGTCTCTGTCCTCTTCCCTCTGTCTTGCCTTACTCTTTTCCCTCTTCCTTTTTCTCCATCATTCTATCCTCCTTATCCTGATCCTCAACATCACTCTCATCCTCACCCTCACTTACCCCCTGAAAATGTGTTACAAAAAGAGGGAAATTCAGGGGCCCTTCTGAAGACCAGCTTCCCTCTCTGGTAACTGACAATAACTGACAGTTTAGCCTGCAGGGATGAGGTCATAAAGCCACCAGAATTCCCAAGGAGATGACAGGCCTCCCTTGGCATCCTATCAAAGGTCAGCTGCCCCCCCCCACCCCACTTTTCTACATACACCAATGCCAGGCAAATGTCTCTAGAAAGCTACCAAACCAATCACTAACGCTGATTTCTCATTTTTTTTATTTTTTTATTTTGCTCAGAGTAGGCTGGGAAATCTTGTTTAAAGACTTGGTAAACTTGGCAATGGCACAATTAACATTAGCTATATAGCAATTCTTTTTTTTAAAACAAAAAATAGTCTCTCAAATTTCCCCTCCATGTCTCTGAAAAATTCATTTATAAGCCAGCATCATTTAACATAGATTCTTTTACCACTCCAAATCATACATCTCAGAATAACAGAGTTAGAACAGACTTTGGAGGTCTTCTAATCCAGGGGTCTTTAACCTTCTCAATTTTAAGACTTGTGGAACAACTCTCAGAATTCCTCAGCCAACTTTAAGTCTGCAGGTCTTAAAGTTGCCAAAGTTGGAGACCCCTGTTTTAGTCTACTCCAGTCACCTGCTCAAACAGGAGACCTTATACCCGTGATGGCGAACCTATGGCACACGTGCCACAGGTGGCACACGGAGGCATATCGGTGGGCACACGAGCTCAGCTCTGGCATGTATGCATGCACCGGCCAACTGATTTTCAGGTCTTCTGGGCCCACCAGAAGTCGAGGAACAGGCCGTTTCTGGACTCCAGGGGGAGGGGGGTAAGGCTGTTTTTGCCCTCCCCAGACTTTCTAGAAAGGCTTTGTAGCCTGGGGAGAGCAAAAAACGGGCCTTTTGGTCCCACAGGAAGTCGGCAAATGGGCCATTTCTGGTCTCTGGAGGGCCTCGGGGTGTGGGGAGGCTGTTTTTGCCCTCCCCAGGCTCCTAGAAAGTCTCTGGAGCCTGGGGAGGGCAAAAAACGGGCCTACTGGGCCCACCGGGCCAAAGTGGAGGGAGCGCCGGGGGGACGCACGAGCATGTGTACGGGGGTGGAGCACATAGAATTATGGGTGTAGGCACGTGCGTGTGTGACCCCCCTGTGCTCTCTCCGCTTTTGACACGTGATGGCAAAAAGGTTAGCCATCACTGCCTTATACCATTCCAGACAATCTCCCTTGAGAATATTGAATTTACAGGAGAAAAAAAACTTAATAGTGATTACTGTGCCTTTTGGCACTAACTCACTATGTTATTACGGGAACCTCATTTTGCTAAGCCATCATTATATACAGTATAGCTGAAATCATCATGAACCTAAATCTCTTACTGTATGTACACTTCAATTATTGAAAGACGCATAGACAAAATGCTGACAAGGGGCCCTTGTGGTGGAAGGAGGCAATCAGAGGCATCCCAAAAGCCAGAATTCTGTTCTAATAATCTCTCTCTCTCTCCCCCCTCTCTCTTCATACTAAGTTCAAGACATAACTGGGTGTAAAACACATAAAACCAATGTATTAGATTAGATTAGATTAACAGAGTTGGAAGGGACCTTGTAGGTCATCTAGTCCAACCCCCTGCCCAAGCAGGAGACCCTACACCATTTCTGACAAATGGCAGTCCAATCTCTTCTTGAAAGCCTCCAGTGATGAATCTCCCACAACTTCTGAAGGCAAGCTGTTCCACGGGTTGATTGTTTTCACTGTAAGAAAATTTATTCTTATTTCTAGGTTGAATCTCTCCTTGATCAGTTTCCATCCATTATTCCTTGTCTGGCTTTCAGGTGCCTTGGAAAACAGGCTGATCTCCTCCTCTCTGTGGCAGCCCCTCAAATATTGAAACACTGCTGTCATGTCTCCTCTGGTCCTTCTCTTCACTAGCCATACCCAGTTCCTGCAACCATTCAGCGTATGTTTTAGTCTCCAGTCCCCTAATCCTCCTGGTTGCTCTTCTCTGCACTTTTTCTTGAGTCTCAACATCTTTTTTATAATGTGGTGACCAAAACTGGATGCTGTATTCTAGGTGTGGTCTTACTAAGGCTTTATAGAGTGGTATTAGTAGTACCTCACTTGATCTAGATTGAATCCCTCTGTTAATGCAATTTAGGATTGCATTGGCTTTTTTGGCTGCCGCTGCACACTGCTGACTCATATTTAACTGGTTGTTTAGTTTAGTTTAGTTTAGTTTATTTGATTTGTATACCGCCCTACTCCCGAAGGACTCAGGGCGGTGAACAGCCAACAATAAAATACATAGATACAAAAAATTTAAAAACCAGATAAAATCAAATTAAATCATTTTGGCCCAGACAGATTAAAACACCCCAATAATTTAAAAACAGATTAAAATTTACATATTTAAAAAAGGGAAGAGATTAGGCCAAGCCCGCCTGATGGAATAAAAAGGTCTTCACAGCGCGGCGGAAGGTGCGCAGATCCGGGATCCTCCGTATCTCCGGGGGGAGCTCATTCCAGATGGTAGGTGCCCCCAGAGAGAAGGCTCTCCCCCTGGGGGCCGCCAGTCGACACTGTTTGGCTGACGGCATCCGGAGGAGTCCCTCTCTATGAGAGCGTACTGGCCGGTGGGAGGCTATTGGTGGTAGTAGGCGGTCCCGTAGATAACCAGGTCCTAAGCCATGGAGCGCTTTAAAGGTGGTAACCAAAACCTTGAAGCGCACCCGGAAGACCACCCGGTTGTCCACTAAGACTGCAGGATCCCTCTCACAGTTACTGCTATTCAGCCTGGTTTCACTCAGTCTATATGTGTACTTTTGGTTTTTCTAGCCTAAGTGTAAGACTTTGCTTTTCTCCACGTTGAATTGAAAGGCCACTTCTGATTCTGGAGTGGTGATCAAAGTAGGGCTGTGACGTCAACTTAAAAACCCATTCAGAGCACGAGTAAAGTGAGTTATAGATCTAATTGTAGTTGCTTTTTGGGTTCACAGTAACTTTGGACAGATTGTACACTTCACACGCCAGAGTTTTACATCACTTCAGGACTCGCTCTGAACCTGGTTGTTCTCAGGCTATCCGACCTGAGGAGATGAGTTCTTATATTTCTTATTTACTGGAAACTGGAGCAAAACTGGTCCTTTTCTTTGAATCCTTGTAGTTTGTTTATTTATTTATTTATTTATTTATTTATTTATTTATTTATTTATTTATTTATTTATTTATTATTCAAATTTCTATACTGCCCTTCTCCTTTCGGACTCAGGGCGGTGAACAGCCAAAATAAAAACATCTATACATAACATCACAGTTAAAAATAAAGTTAAAATAATTTATAAATTTGGCCCATAATTTAAAACTTGTCAATTAAAATCAATATTAAAAATTTAAAACTAACCCTAAAATCAAGACAGACCGGCTAACTGAAAAAAATAAGTTTTTAGGGCCCGACGAAAAATCCGGAGGTCAGAGATTACTCGTATCTCTGGGGGTAGATTGTTCCATAGGGTAGGTGCCACCACAGAGAAGGCTCTCCTCCTGGGGGTCGTCAGCCGGCATTGTTACAATCCTTTTGGGTGGTCAGTCTTCCCGTTGCTAGGAATTCTTGCCTCAACCAGTGTTCAAGCTGCCATTACTCAACCACAATGAAGTCTCCCCGGAGAGGCACCGTACAGAATTTATCTTTACAGGTCGTCCTCGACTTACAACCTTTCGTTTAGTGACCATTTGAAGTTACAACAGCACTGAAAAAAGTGACTTATGGCCATTTTCCACACTTAAGGACTGTTGCGGCATCCCCGTGGTCATGTGATCAAAATTCAAATGCTTAGCAACTGACTCCTGTATATGACAGTTACATTGTCCCGGGATCATGTGATCAGCTTTTGCAACCTTCTGACGAGCAAAGTTAATGGGAAAGCCAGATTCACTTTAAATAGAATAGAATTTGTTATTGGCCAAGTGTGATTGGACACACAAGGAATTTGGCTTGGTGCATATGCTCTCAGTGTACATAAAAGAAAAGATAGGTTCATCAAGAATCAATAACATAAAGCTATGTTACTAACTTAACAACTGCAGTGATTCACTTAACGACTGTGGCAAAAAGGGTCATAAAATGAAGCAAAACTCACTAAACAACTGTCTCACTTAGGCAATGGAAATTTTGGGCTCAAATGAGGGTGCAAGTTGGGGACTCCCTGTATTCGGTCTTTCCTCTCCAATCCAACCACCGTAGCATCTCAAAGCCCAGCATCCTTGCAATATCACCTGCCTGTTATCATTTCATCTTGACAGGTTATAGCAGGGGTCTCCAAACTTGGCAACTTTAAGACTTCTGGACTTCAACTCCCAGAATTCCTCAGCCAACATGGCTGGCTGAGGAATTCTGGGAATTGAAGTCCAGAAGTCTTAAAGTTGTCAAATTTGGAGACCCCTGGGTTATAGGGACTTTTTTTAGGAGGGAAAAAGTCACATTAAGACCCAGTTTTATTTATGTATGAATTAAGGGCCATGTTCCCTCCATGCATATAGAAAACACGGTTTCTTCGTGGGTCATATGGGGAATCCCACCAGCTCTTTGTTGAACCAGAGCCAATCCAAATTTAGCTCTAGAGGTTGGCAGGGTCTTGTGGGCAGCCTTAGCATCTGGCAAGAGTGGCAAAACCCACAGGAGGTGGAGAAAATACGAGAAGACAGCCTTGTCATATGTATGGAGGAAGCTGAAATCTTTAGTTTTTCCCTTGGGGTAGGGGTGGGTATTTGCTTTTACGCCACGTTAAGGGGAGAGTTGACGCAGTTTATAATAATAATAATAATAATAATAATAATAATAATAATAATAATAATTTTATTTCTATACCGCCCTTCTCCCGAAGGACTCAGGGCGGTGTACTATTTAAAAACACAAAACAAAACGATTAAAATTTAAAATCATTAAATAGATTAGGCTCAAATTAAAATCCCAGAAATTTAAAATACCGTAGTAGGTAAGGTAAGCCGTTCCATTGATTGGTTCTGACTGCTGGGAAATTTCTCCTCAGTTCTACAGTAGTGGCCAAAATTGTGGAAACCTTTTGAGAAA